ACGAAACGTCAGGAAGAAATTCCCATAGACCACGGCTTCAAAGCCCGGAAAACATTCCTAAATGTGATTTAACCGGCCGTGAAAGCCTTCATAGAATGAAATGTATGTTTAAATATTTTTAATTGTTGCCAAGATGGAAACTTTGAAACCTTGAAAGATGAAAGAGGCATAAACTCAATTATTTTGCTTCTAACTTTTTGAAGGTTAAGAATTTTTGATCAGACTTAATTGCGTGGCAAAGACCTGAAGTTTCTGCAGCGAAAATCTTTTAACAGCTTTGCTCTACCAAAAAGGTCCTAACAATTGTTAAGATATTTTTAATCGTTGCCGAGATAGCAGCTGTCAAACTTTACGGGTGACCTAATCTGCCTATTTTTGCTTCTAATTTTTTAAAGGTTAGGAATTTATGTTGAAAGTTGAAAATTCAACGAAAGAGATGCTAAGTTTCTCTATTGAAGAACTTGTAAAACTTTTCAGATATTGTCAACTGTTTCCGAGACAGAAGCTTTGAGACTTTAAGGGTGGCATCATTTCAATGTTTTTGCTTTTATCTTTATTCAAAATACACATTTCTGATAAACCAAAAATAATACATACATACTTTATCCAAAAAGTCCTAGTGATTTTTCAGATATTTTCAAGCGTTTCTGCCCCATACGGTCTAAAATTTTTTCTATTTTTTGCTTCTATCTTTTTAGAGGTTATGAATTTCTGGAAGTGAATATAGTTCTATAAACACACTTTGCAAAAACTCTTAGGCCCGGTTAGATGTTTTCATCGGTTTCCGAAATATAAGGATCTTTTAAACATGGACAGGTTTAATTTTTCAACTTTAGGCTTCTGACGCTTTAGAGGTTGAGCATTATTAACAAAAGCACTTTTGGACAATGTCTTCCAGAAATTTTCTACTCCTGATAAAATATTGCAACCCATTTGGAAGATATGAAGGTTTTTCTTGCCAAAAACAGTCGACTCTTGTATTACAAACCCAGTGTAAATGAGATGTTTGCATATAAACGATCTAATAAATCCTCGCTTAGCTGGCACTGGAGTGACTAAATTTAGCAGCGGTTTATGCAAATGGCAATGGATTTTAATAAAACCTAATGGGATTTAAACCGTAACATAAGTAATCGCCCGCCAAGTAATATTGTTTATTAACTTTCATAGTTTTACCGTAAATGCGGGTCTGTTGCATGTCGCAGCCCTATCATCATAAAATAAATTAGATGCATATTTTCGGTTTATCAGGTATGCGTATGGTGCTTGAAATGCTATGCATTTTCCGTTAAATATGTCCTGCAGTTGCTTCCTAAAATTAAATTTAAATTCAAATAATGCATTGATAATTACTTGCTTTGTTGGAATGGAAATCGTCCATGAGATAAGCCAACTTTTGGTAGAGATTTTTTCGTCAGTTGGACGAGTTTAGAAGACGCAGTTAAAATTTTGGATTTAAAATTTACTCTGGCTGATTCAACAGGTGTGTATCGAACGTGGATGGAGAGAATACAACCCTGAAACCAACGAAAATCACTGGAATCTATGGTGGAAGACTTCAGGTTTCTCCAACGGTCATCACAAGAACATCTATGCCTTCCAAGTATGTTCCGTTATAAGATTAACTTCCAATCAGAAAAATTAAAACTGCGTTTTTCAGTTCTTGAATCATATTCCGAAAGGATCCACCATTTGCAGGAAAGACAACCTCATTAGATACTTAAGGTGTATGAGGAAGGTCTATGGATCAGTTTATGATTTCAGGTACGCACTCTGTCTATACACAGAGCCTCCGCTCTTTAATGTTTTTTTTAGCCCCCATGGGTACAATTTGCCATTAGAATACACCAAATTGGCCGCTGAATGCAGCCGCAGCAGACCGCCCAGTTATCGCGACGAAAATCTTCGACTCCCCGAGGAAAAACCCATTTGGATCTGCAAACCGGTGGCCCAAAGCCAAGGCAGAGGAATCTTCCTGTTCAAGGTACTGCTGCTGCAAGTACAAAAGTGAAAAACTGTTCAAAAAAACTCCGGTAGAAACTGAGCGAATTAAACTACGACACCAACACGATCGTGCAGCGCTACATTGAAAAGCCTCTTCTGATCGGGGGCTACAAGTTCGACTTGCGCCTCTATGTGTGCGTTCCCTCCTATCAGCCGCTGGTGGTCTACATGTACAAGGAGGGACTGGCTCGATTCGGCACCGATAAATTCAGCCTGAACGACCTGAAGAACCCTTTCAGGCATCTAACCAACTCCTCCATCAACAAATTAGGCCCCGGCTATGCGGAGATGAAGGACAGAGTGGGATCCGGTGAGTGAAGAAATCGGAGCCAATTAGTGTTAAACTAGGCAAACTGTAGGATGCAAGTGGACTCTGAGGCAGCTCAGAAGGTACTTCCAGCAAGCCTCCATACCGGACTGGCTGATATGGCAAAAAATCACTTCGCTTGTGGTGCTGACCATTCTGAGCCAGCTGCACCAAATTCCCCCCACTGTGAACTGTTTTGAGTTCTTCGGCTTCGATATTCTGATCGACAGCGCTTTGCGCCCGTGGCTTTTGGAGGTACGGCTGCTCAGCACCACTCAGACCGTCCCTACGTTCAGGAAATTCCTCTACATTGTTTCTCAGGTCAATCTGAGCCCTGCTCTGAGCAATGACTGCGACGCCGACAGTCTTGTGAAGAAGCCAATGTTGCACGATATGTTCGACCTTTTAGGCCTGCCCCTGTACAACACTGGACTGTCCATTTTTAATGTCTGGCTGGACGGGACAAGCGACAATGACAGGTGGGGTTTTTAAGTTTTCCCTCCTAGTGGAGTGCGGAGGGAGGGAGAAGTTGACGTGGACACTTTTCTGGTTCAAAACTGTGTTTTTCTCCTGCTTGTTAAAAGTTTTCTAGTGAGGGTGAGGGGGAAACCTAAAAAAACCGTTTGCAGAGAGGAGGACTTCGATGCCAAAATGTCCCTGAAAGGGACGGTGACGATACTAAACGCCGCTGGACGTTGGAGGAGGAAGGTTAGGCGAATGTCCGCCCACCAGTCGTCCTACAGCAGCACCAGCACTGGGCGGGCCAGAGTGCGCTCATCTCCACCCACCAACCAAAGTAAGCGCCTACCACTCAGTTCCCTCAAGGTTGCCTAGTAACCTCCTCCTCCTCTGCTCGACGTGTAGGATCTTACATGAAGCTGCCCAAGGCGCAGCTTGGCAACCCAACCACGCCTCTAACTTCCAACGTGCCAAAGGAAAACACGGTAGACATTCCCGATGGGAAAAATAAAAAGTTTTTGAGGTTCAGCAATTGTTCAGGTGGATGAAGACCTTAGAAGGCCGGGCTTCAAAACGTGGGGCAACGGCCGGGACTGGAGGAGGCCCAAAGCTCGAGACGGAGGTTGGGTGAGGGTCTGGCCTCTGGATAGCGAGGAGCAGCTGGATGGGAACAACAATGTTTCCATTAGTGGCAACACTGGCCTCAATAAAATGGGCGTTAAAGCGATGGTGAATAAGGTGGGTTTTTAGCTCGGACTAAATATCTGTTTACAATCTAGTTAATATTTTTGGATTTTATAGCGCAATTTTTTATATTCTTGTACCTTATTAGGTATGTTTCTGTTTTCTTCCAGATAGGAAAATTCAACAAAACTGCCAAGGAACTAGCGAAAAAGCATCCGGCCGCTTCTGAGGGCCAATTGACCGAATTTTTGCAGCAGGAGCTGGCCATAAGCGGCGATTTGTGGATTCCTCCTTTATAAAGTGTTCGAATTGCTTCTAAACCAAGCGCGCCCAACATATGCGGTAGAACAGCCAAGCAAGCGATTGCTGCATCTGTTTGGCGCGCCGGCAATAAATATTCCGATTCGATTTTCCAAACTTTTACTGCCTGAGCCAATGTTGAAAATAAGTCCAGGCACGTCTTATCCAAAGAATTACTGTCCAATTCTTTCAAGAAAATGGTGAATTTGCCGCACTTCTTGAAGGTCGGGTGCGCTTCGCGCAACGTATTTCTGAGGATGCAAGCCACTCGTTCAAGCGAAACGTTAGAAAGCACACTGGAAGCAGTAAAATGGGAGGTAAAAAATGGATATCGGAGCACTGAGTCGGAAAACGTATACGCACTAGCCTAACTAGATCAGACGTGTCTGGACTGTCCGTTAGATATGAAATTCCTAATCTAAGTGCGTTTTGTTGCGATTATAGCCGATTTCTGGCGCAAATGTATTTTTTGCGCCCGTATATACAGCATTAAACCCTTTTGAAACTATTTCGTATATTTAATTCAACTTGCAGAACAGGACAATGAAAAATACGCCAAAATGAGTGTACTTGATTTATTAACTAACATTACAGCTTTATACATAGTGGTACCTTTACATGACTCCATCAAACAATCCTCCTACCCTAATTTCCCTTCAAAATGGCACTTAAAATATTGTACATCGACAATGATGGATTGACAAAAACGACAACTTATCGACATATCTACAAGACGATTACATTACTTAATTAGCTAAGAAAATAAAAGAAACTTTACATAATTCACAACAGAACAAAGAGCAACAGGACAAACGAACGTCACTGGTTATAGATATAATCAATCAAGGCTTGTGTGAGAAGAGATTTTGCCTTTGCCTACCGACAACCTAACAGTATTGATTAGATGGTTCAGAAGCGTTCAAGAAAGCGTGTTTTTTAGTAGATTCTAATCTAGCGTGCGTGGGTTTTGCAGAACGGGCGTCCACCCTTAGCGAAGAAGCTCTGCCCTTCCAAGTTCTTCTTGCACATCTGAAACCCCCAGTTTACAAGCAAAAATCGCCATTAAAAAAGCGAAAACAAGCCACTCACCGTGCAGTTGAAGCACTGGCTATGATAGTTGTTGTTCAAGGCTTCCACCCAACGATCGCCGGCCTCCACTGGGAAGCCACAGGCGAAGCATTTCGTAGTGAAGAGTTCGTTCCAATCTAGAGATCCAAACACCCTTAAAACACGGCCTTTGAAGGTGGGAACTTCTGTTAACTCACCAGCGTCACAGTAGGGATTGCCGTCTTCCAAGAAGAACGGGTTGTTTCCGAAGAGTTTACCGCAGTAGACGCAGTTGAAGCATTCCGGGTGGAAGTTCTTGCCGATGGCTCTCAAACAGTCCTCAAGAGAAAAATTATTTGGTTGGCAACATCCGTGCTTTGGCACAAAGGCAACCCACAATGGTGCAGACAAACTGTGCCCAGGCCAACGGCGTTCCAATTGCCATGGAAACGCGATTAGACAACAACAGGTGTTCAACGGCAAAGCATGCCAGCTAAAGGGCACAGACTGTCCGCACCATACGGAAGGGCTGTAGTTACTCACTCCCTTGATTTTCCCGTTGCATTTGGAACAGGGCGGAGCCAGGTACTGCTCAAAACAATATTCGCAGTAGAGCTGTCCTTGTTCCTCCACAAATCCGAGATCCTGCAGAGGGCGCTTGCAGGACGGGGTGTTGCAGGTGAAGTGCTGAGGACACCAGATTTTGCCCAGGGCTGTTATGAACGGTCCCCTAAAAGCAAATTCGTTGAGTTACTCTATAAAAACCCTGTTGGGTTCACTGTGTTAGTCGTGCAGTTTCAGGGCGGGGGAGGAATGAAAGGGGCAAAAAATTATCCGAGTATCCTCAGTAAACCTTCACCAGTTGCCAGTTTTACCTAATAATTTCCACATTACATATCCAGCAAATAGGGGCGGTTTTCTCATCAGCATCCCTTTGGCTTTTCCCACTGCCCACCCGCCGGAAAACGGTTTCGGAAAACTCCTCCGCATTGGCAAAAGTCAAATGATCGGGCAGATTATCCTCAGAGGCGATTCGCTTCCCAATCGGCACCACCAGCTCGGACTTCACTCGCTTCACGCTATTCTCCGTGACGGTTTGCACATTGCTGACGATGTAGTTCAAGCGGGGACTCTGAGTTTCGGACACGCTCACCCTCTTCAGCTTCGGGATCAGGCCCTTGTTAATTTCGGTGATGATTTTGTCTTTGGCCGCGTCGATGGAGGCGCTGGTGTGGCGCCCACTGGATGTGGACGAGTTGGAGGAGTAGTCGGACTTGGGGGAGGAGCCGATGGAGTCCAATTGGAAGCTGGACGTGGGAATGGAGATGGTGATTTGGCTGTAAACGGGCACGGTGGGAGGTTGTGGAGGTAGGGGCAATTGCTGACACTCCTCTTCCAATTGGGTGACGGATTGCTGCAGGTTAGTCTGGTAAATTGCACTCTCATGCTCTAAAACAAAACTCCAAATAACACACAGCCAAGTTATGGACAAAGCGCGGACCAGTGAACTGGAACGCTTGTTTTTAGAGGTTAAGATCAGGCCTGGGTAACACTGTGTTGARTTGCGCTTTTRAGTTGRTGCCGCTCTGTGAGTTGGYAAGTRAAAACTCATCGCKKTAATAATCATGTTCATTCAGTAGGTCGGTGAATCTTTTTTCGAAAAGGTGTTTGAATGGTCAGTTTGACCGGCTGTGGACGAAATCGGTCAATAATCGCATTYTTMGGCCCGTATTTATAAACGTTGCTCAAGCATGAGTCGAGCCTCAAGTACRATACTTGGCTTCGATTGCGATTTATAAACGATTCTCATTCTCAAGCCAGTGCTTACCAGCTTTGCTTGCTCAAGTATCGGTCGACGGTGGCTTGAGTATTGCTTCTGCCCCTGTTTATGTTATGTTTTTACATTTTAATTCTTTGATTTTACTATCGTATACAATATAAGAATGGACAAGGTTTTGAATATTTGGACGTAATAGAGGAGGAAATAAACGAAGACCAACGTGTTATTAAAATATATCAAAATCAATTCCTGGGCTTCAGTCATTTATTGTCTATTTATCAATTAAAATACTGAACTACTATTAAAATTACTACTATTAAAATTGATAAATAGACAATAAATGACTGAAGCCCGGGAATTGATTTTGATTTGGAATTGAAACACAGTCAGGAAAGTATGTACAATTAAAATATATATACGAGATGGCAAAAATCCTCTTGAGTTTTTCTCGCATGTAGAATTTCGGAAAAGGTTTCGGTTTTCAAAGGCCACTATTATTGAGGTGATATTAGCTTTTTTAAACGAACCGTTATTGTAAGCGGATAATCGTGGACTACCAATATCAAATATCACCCATTACTCAATTGCTGGTATGTTCAAGATTCTATACATCCTGGCTTTCTATTCTAGAGATTTTATGCAAACAAGTAGCAATGTTTCTAGGATTCCATGTCTACTATCTTACATAGAGGGTATATTGTAGCTTGTGTCCGGTAATTTTCGTGATCTTCGCCAGTCCTTCAGCGACTCAAAAGACATATTTACATTTTGTCGCCATCTTAGATTCGCCAAGTTTGCCAATAGTCCCAATATAAAATTACCAAATAAATACGAAAGTCCCTATACAACTATACTCGACCGATACTTCGCCGAGAATTCACGAAGTACTGTTTATAAATCGTCTCTCTTGATTGAGAACGAGCTGAGAATCGGCTTGAGTATCGTTTATAAAGTAGTAGCCTTAGCCTGGAATTAGTGGCCTTAGATGGGAAATTAGAATCATTGTGGCCCGTATCAGAAGTGCGGAAGTTCGTGAAAGCGTAGATACCTTGAGGATTAATGGCTAGAAAAGGGAGGATAGAGCGCCAGCTTGCAGAAAGCTGGTAAGAATGAGCTAAGTCATAAATCTTTTAGATTGCACTGAGTTTTCCTCTAGCCTTTGTGTTTTTATGACAACCTCATCTGTAGGTTTTGGATAAAAACCCGCTTCGGATATAGAAGTTTGGGTTCCAGTATTAAACACAAGAAGCATCAGGTTACTGATAGTGTGGATTTGGAACGCTATACAAAAGGTGTCGCACAACAATTTTTTCATATCCTAAGCAAAATTTTCTTAACGATGAATGAAATTCAAAATTTTTACA